GATAGTTTATTAAATTAAAGATGCAGCTGACACAATTAGATTTAAGAAACCTTATCTGGTGACTGTTGATGTCCAAGTTTAGTGTCAAAGGTTTTTTATTTTGTTTTGTTTTTTTCATTTATCTGAAGCAGGTTCTAAAAATACCCTGAAGAAAACTGAGCTACACGTCTCAGACACTGGCTGTGGACTTGCATGTGTAATTGAGAGTGAAAGTCATTTAAACTTCCAAGCAGATCCAAGAGTGCCTCAATCACATTTAATAGTAAAAGCAGAAGAAAAAAGAGAATTTTACTGAATTCATTTTCTTATGTAGAATATTTTCCTAATCAGATGTTCCGCCTCTGTTTTTATAGTCTTTTTTTGTTTCCTGTACTTGTATCTTATCAAACCCTCCCAGTCGTACTTTAAGTGGTGGCTTTTTCCTGAAAACTTTAGGATTGATTTTGGTCTGATACCACTCATGGAAAACATTGGAACAGGAATCAGCTGATAGGAATGTGGCTTCAGACAGGGCCATTATTTCCATTCTGAGTTGTTGTGTGGCTTTTTTTTTCTCTCTTCGAATGATATTTTTGGTAGTCACACTGCCCGTCTGGCAGTGCTAATGTCAGTTTCGGCTTATTTTCAAATGTCTTACATTCTGCTCTTGGTTTATTTTTAAAGTCCCAAATCTTGTAAATTCCTCTCATAACACGGAGATGTTGCCCGCTCAAACAGTAGCCAAAGCCAGAGATGACAGTGGTTTAGATAGTGGGAGGATTACTTAAAATAACATTTCAATAATGCATTGTTTAGATTTGTGTCTTGAGCTCATATCAACAGTAGTTTTACTTGCTCAGTGTTGTGGAACATGGACTCATAGAGTGAAGGTCGGGACCCTCAGGGCCTCCCAAGATAAATCCGAGGGGCCATAAGTAGATCAAAGGGTTAGGAAAAGGGGAACAAATATTCCTGTTCACAAAACTGTTTATTTTTCCTGACTTTTTTTCCTTTTTTTTCTTGTGAAAGTACTTAAAGTACTACACTTTCGCATCTACAGCATCCCAAAAAAAAAACCCACTTCAAATGAAGCCACCTATGAAGGACAAAAAGAATTAAATCCCTCTTAAGTCATTGTCTGTGATGGTTACATACAGCAAAAGTTAATAATAATTATTATTATTATATTGTTACAGTCATTTGTTGTTTGCTTCTGGAATGGTGAGTCTGCACACAGAGCACGCATGACCAATGTTACACAGTTTTAAAATACTTTATTTTTCAATGCAACAGATGATGTTATGTAAAATCACACCACAAGGTGCCTTATGACAAGGAAGTAATACATAATGTGGGCAGAAGGTTTTCTGTGCGTGTGGACAATTAAGGGGACGGTGTTGGGCTTATACTGTGGCCACAAGCCAAAGAAAATAAACTAGCAGCACGGCATGTTGCGAATGCTGCTGTGTTTACCTGCAGTTCGTAATACTGTACCTTGTACAAGGACATACCCACAAAAAGATTCTAGACGGCGTGATGTTTGAGGCATCCAGACGTAAGGTTCTGTCACCCATTATTCGTAGCCATGGCACAACTTAACATAGACATGGGCTTTTAAATCCCAGTTTCACTGTTGTGTGCATACCGACTCAAAACAGAAACTTTAAGACTTTAAACCGACACAAAAATGGAGTATTTCTATTCATAGTTCTTTGGTTAAGCTGATATTAAACTGAAAGGTTTTTGTGAAGAAAATGTTCCTACAGTGGAGACAGGCTTGCCAGAATGATCGCTTAGTCGAGTTTGCTACAGATTCAGTGTATCGTCATTACATAACTTACCAGATAATATACTCTACAAAAATTAGTTTATACTGACATTTTTGAAACCACAAGCCACGTGACACTGTGTCCATGTACTGGAATGCATTTCAATGTTGATGTCAAACACTGTCAGTCTGGAGCAGAGAGCCTTTTTCCAAACAACACGTAGAGGACTCTGGGAGGTTCATCCGTGATGCAACCTAATCTCGGCTGTATGCCAACAAACAAACAAAAACAACAACAACAACAAAAAACAGTCACAGTGTTCCCATTCAGACCGAATCATCTGTTTCTCCACAGTCAATCCAGTCATGTCTTTGGGGCTAGCTTCATTCTGCTATGCTTTTCAGGGTTCTGGATTGAACTTTTCTGTAGCTTTTCTTTGCTGTTTGGTCTCAGACTTTGCAGAAATCACAGTAACAGCTGGAAACGCAGTTCGCTTCAGTAGGTTGACATTTCACTCTTCATCTGTCCTGTTCCTGCAACGTGAATCTGAAAACAGATGGATATATTAGCATCTAGCGTTTCCGTGACAAAATCCGTACCTATTGGTAAAATAGCATCGCATGGCATTTTGTTGTTTTAGGCTGTCTCTTAGTAATGAGAACAAAATGTCTAAATATGCCACACCTGGGATTATGTCACTTGCATATTTTCAATTTTCATTTTGTTTGCTTTAAATAGAAGCCTTATCTGTATTGAAAAGTACCTGATAGTCGAGACCAGATTACTATCGTGTCGTGAATCGCCTCATATTTTTGACTTGGTGTGCAGCCATGTGTTATGTGACCGTGCAAACTGAGCTTTTCTCTGTGTGTTTCTGTATGACTTGTTGGTTTGTGTTGGTCACGGCCTGCACACCATTTTAGTTTTGATCAGATAAAGAAGGACTCGGAGACAGCAGCAGCTGTTTGTTGTCTTACAGGTTATTTGTAAGTATCTCGGTGTTTTCGTGTTCATTGATATCATCGCTGCACCTCTTCCCTTTTATTTATTTTTTCTTCCTAATTACAGAAAGTTACTGCATAGTTGCCCTCATCATTCTGTCCTTTGTGAAACTTCTTTTCCCTTAAATAAGACAGGAATTCTGATGCTATCACTTCTGCTGTACATGTCTCCACAGGAAGACATGATCTACCTTCCACTGGAAGCTGCACAGAAATACGAATGCTTATAGGGAAGAAAACAGCTACCATACAGTTTACAATGTGGTTTCATCAGAACTCCTTTCTTACATTATGTACTGCTAGAAAGTGAAATCACTGTTGTCTACTTTGTGTCTTGTGGCTTCAGTGTGCGGTATTTGGATGGTTTAACCCCTTGAGCCTCAGTTGATTATTTGACACTTCTACATTTAAAAAACATCTGCACTGTAGTCGGCAACAGCTGCAAAACCGTAAAGCCAAGATAAGCAGTCTTGCGCTTTATGGATAAGAGACGCGAAGAATTTTGAATGCAATAGGTCTCCCTTTTCCTTATCACCAGTCCAGAGTGAACTTGAGAAACCTTCATGGTTTTTAAGCTTTTTATTTTTTTGGTCTTTATGCATCTTTCCACCTGGAACCTGGTACAGGGGACTCTGGGGTCAAAAGGAGTTAATGGGAAAAAACTCCAAGAATAATAGAGCCAAAGAGCTATACTTAAGTCAGTTATTTTGAATTACAACACCACAGATATGTGTGCAGATATTGTGTAGCCTCCATTAAAGCTAAAGTAGCCTCTGCTCATCATTAGTTAGGAAAAATCCATTCATCATATCTGACGTGTGCGTTTGCCGAATCTGTTCGCAGGATGCGATTCACTGTTAAATGCAAATAGAAAGTCCTTAGTTAGTTGTGCAGTTTATGACTTTCAGTTTCTACTAAATGTAACAATGACAGTTTTGTTATAGACTATTTTGTCTTGTTAAAATATTTTTCAAAGCAGCCAAAGCAAAGCAAAGAAAATCCCTCCATCCATTCTCTCCTGCTTATCCACTTTTAGGGTCGCAGGGGACCAGAGCCTATCCCAGCTACCATAGGGCAAGAGGTGGGGTACAGTCTGGACAGGTCGCCAGCCTTTCACAGGGCAAACACACAGAGACAGACAACTATTCACACCTATGGCCGATTTGCAATCACCAGTTAACCTCACTAATTCCACGTCATCGGACTGTGGGGGAGGACGACACAAACACAGGGAGAACATGCAAACTCCACACAGAAAGGCCCCAGCCAAATGGTGGATTCAAACCACCATGCTGCCCACAAGAAATCACATTTACAGTAACTATCTTAAAAACATATATGTATCTATGCTGGGGTTTTTTTGTTTTTGTTTTAAATAGATAAATACAAAGACTGAATCATGTAGTAAAATTAAATACAGCTAAGTTTCAACTGGTCACACTGGGATTCATTCTGACAAAGAGATATACAAGCACGCATTAAAGATGCAATAATGTATTTAAAATATAGATCTATATGTGCAGCCATTATAGTACATTTCAGCCAAGCAGTTTCACTAACCTTGGGCAAAATAAGCAGAAATACATATACAATGGAGATCTCTCTCTTGCATTAAATGCAATATATATATATATATATATATATGCGGTCAAGTATCCCAGATGCCTCCATTTAAAGATCATGTAGCAGTGTTATTGTTTGTGATATCAGCCAGGGTTAAAAGGGAGTATTGGAGGTTTCCCACAGGTCAATACCACCATGTTTTGTGTTTCCCTGCTCCATGCTTCATGCTCTCGTAGGCCTGAGCTTGCTCTAAGCTATCTAAGTGCATATTATAGAACAGACCCAATTAGCAAAGCGCAGGGAGGGCTTTGCATTACAGGGTTCACGGCACCGAAAAAAAACCCAAGCATTTGTGCATGTTGCTCCCGAAGCACCTTCAAAACCCTAAGTGGCTTCAACACGTTCCACTGCAGTCTGTCAATGTGCAACACCATTTTTAGGCCGTTGTAATGTCACATGACACTTGAGTGAGCACACATTGGCTGCTCAGAGAGGTAAAAAGTAGAGTATGTTGCATTAAACCTCACACTTCGACACACTTAACTACTTAACACAACACAGCCAAAATATGTGTTTACACAGTTTTTAAATTGTCTACAATTACCGCTCACTATATTTTACACTAACAACACATCCATTAATAAAAATCGGGCGCTCTTGGAGAATACAGCATACATGTGTGGGTAATTATATGTACATTTTTAGCTGGCATAACGATACAGTTTGTTCTAGTAAGACACACTCAGTCACTTATAGTAGGAACCTGAAATGTCAGACGTATATACAAAATGTCCTTTTAGATTTGCTAAACTCTAAGTTGTTAACTTTTATATGTCAGAGATATTTACAAGATCCTGTGGAGCTTCTTGTATGGACTTCAGTAAGTTGGCGTTAGTACTGGAAATGGAATTCGTCATCTATGTTCATCATTGTTGTTCTTTTGAAGGTTCACAAGTTAAAAATATGAACATATATTCAAATATGCACAGCATTGGTGTAAGCACTGCCGGTACTTAAATACTGCCATTAAACTCAGTACAGTCATCTTTTTAGTTGACTTGCTCTACTCCCCATGTTGCCTGCATGCTTGTTTCGTTTAATATGCACTTGAGTTTGCTGATTGTGGATAGTTCCTCTCAGTTTAGTGCAAAGGCTTGTGAGACTGTTAATCTTTAATTTCACATCACTCAGCAGTGCTAGGACTTTGATTGCTGTGTATGTTTGATGTGGTTTCTGATGTTTGCATACCCACTCAGAACATTGTTAAGCTTTAGCTAGGAGACGGGCCGTCGTGACCTAGACTCTTAGTGATTAATGACTTCCACTCGGCGTTCATGTTGAGGGGCAGTTACTATCAAAGCAACACTCCACTACCTCTGCGGAGAATATGGATTTTGAAATGTGACAAAAAATGAAATTATATACAATCAGCTTTCTCTGCTATACTAAATAAGTTCATGTGGCATATCTGTTTACATAAGATCAGGTGTTACATCAGGTGTACTACTTGATTTAAGTGTTGACACTTGTAATATTATCCTAACTTGTGATTAAGTTTACTTATTCCTACAGAAATGAGTTTGAACACTTTTTGAGTTTCCTACATTTTAAGTGTACTATATTTTTAATGTTATGAAATTTGTGTATTCATTTTACTTTTCTTGCATCACTTTATTTCATATTTAACCTGATGCAGTTTTATTAAATCCAATACATTTGAGTCTTTAATAAAGTGGTGTCAAATATATGGCCTGGGGGGCCAGAATCGGCCCACCGAATGCTCCGATCTAGCCCACAGGACACCTTTTTTAAAAATGTGAAGGAAGACATCGATTTTGGACTTTAACTGTATTTTCAGAAGTTTTACAGCTTTTGCTCCTGACATTGTAATTCATACTACAAAAAAGTAAAGGGTGTGTTTATAAACGTTTAAATAACACAATGTTTCAGGGGTTTTTTTACCATCTACAACAGAAATGACTATTTATGTTCTGGTGGGTAAACAGTAAAAAGCTAAATAAATAAGATTTAAAAAATGGGGAAAATATTTGTTTTATTATCACAGAAGAGTCTCGAGAGTGAGCCCCCAGAATCTTTTCTGTTATTTTGCACATTTATTTCTTACACCTTAAACCCAAAGAATCATGCTGACAGATTATTTCTATTGACAACGACAGTATTTATCATGCAAGTTAAAAGTGAAACGTGCTGTTTAAATACACTTGATTTTTTCTTATGCCAAGACATCTTAATGATGCAATGTGTAGTTACATTATTTTACTTGTTCCGCCCAGTTAAGGGCAAAGTGGGCTGCATGTGCCCCACAGTGTAAAATGAGTTCCACATCCCTCCTTTAGTACATCTCTTGAAACTTCATCTGTGTTGCCCAAGCAGCGTGGACTTTTTGAGATGGCAGCACATGGTTGTGTGGCTTTCGTAAACCTCAGGTATATTAGACCTGGACAGCAGAGCTCTACGTTTCTGAATCAGTCTATCCGTCATCTAACAGACGCCGTAATTTCTGCTCCACATACGTAAAGTATTTTAGTCCACAACCTAGTTGGCTGCTGCTCTTTGAAATCAAATGTTCCACTCTCTGTTAACTTAATTTTAATGTTCTCAGTGATGGATAAACTGTGCTAACAAACTCGCTCTGCTTGTAATACACAGCATTGCCTTTCAGATACACGAAGACTCACCTCTCGTATGCATATTAGGGCTAATGTTAAGAGAAACAAGGCAGATAAAAACAAAGGGAGACACAGAAAAACTAAACCCTTAACCCTTAGTCATGTAGCAAAAGAAAGAGGGTGAAAGCGCTTCTCTGAGAGTAAGGAGAGATGTTTTGAAGAGAATCCTTGCAGAAGTGGTCTTGTCTTACGCCACAGCATTACGTGACAGAAGCTGATGGTTGGTCTGGATGTTGATGAGGGCATCGCTGATATGCCAGCATGTATTTCTATGAAAACAAAGTAACTATTGATAATCTCTGTTCTGTGAAGTACAGCCTAGTAACCATTCATGTCAGTGGTTGGGCTTTGCTTTTCTTCCGCTCTGGGTTACATCAGCTCCTGACTTAACTAACTTTGTTGTCCCAGGGTGAAAAGGAAACATGCTGCTCTACTGCTCTTTTGTATTCTTTGAAATAGATGGAGAAACTGACAGGGATTACTGTGCGGAGGTCCACAGTCGCTTATGGTGGCGACTGAAGCAACAAATTCGGCAGTGAACAGACTGTATCTAGAACGGTTTGTCATATTCCTTCATTAAAGCGGTCTTTGAGCCTTGGACCTGTCGAAGTCATTCTTGAACGGCTGGTCTCACTTACATTTGTAATCCTGCTGAAAGCGAGCGGTGAGTCTGCTGAGCCTTCCCCTTGGGGTGATTTACTACAGAACACACCAGGCTCCTTTTATGGATGGCTTTTATATGCTGCTAAATGTCTCCTGTTTTGTAGCCCCATTGATTATGTCTGTAAAATTCCACTGAGGGGATGCCATTAAAGGGGAAGAGAAAAATAATTTATAGTGTTCAGGGTAAATATTTAAAATCAGAAGCACGGCCCTTCCATAAAAGTGGATCAGTCATGGGAATTCATATGCGGCATAGAGTTGTGCAACTTACTAAATAAAATGTATCAACATAAAGACATTTTTTTTCACAGTTTGATCCAATTTGAAGTCATATAAATGCACTGTAACCTGAAACACTGCCTTTGTAAAAATAAATGTACATGCAAAACTTAATTCCATTCATGCAAGAGCTCGCAATAAAATTTAGTAATCATAAATATTGGCGACAGCAACTAAACACAGTGATGAGATATTTAACGATCATTGCAGTGCAGGTGTAATTGTAAGTGAGTTACGGCCTTTGTCTTGTCTGCCTTTAAGACGGTACGGCACTGAAAATAACTTTATTTCAGCTGTAAATTCACTAAGAAATATTCTGAATATTCAAGTTTTTTTTAAATTCTTTTGTTAAAATGATAATTGATCAGTTATTTCATAATTCAAATTGTATAAAAAATGTAATTAAATTATGTGAGAGGTATAATTCTTGCATAAACACTACATAGATGATGCCATAACTTATAATTCCGCCTACAATTTTTATCTGTGAAAGACCTGGTTTCATCTCGGGGTTGTGCATTAGGGTAGTAATGAATTGAATATTGGGCTGTCCGCCTACAGTTAGAGTGTGTTAAGGAGAGCGTTCTCATTGGCTGTCACTCTTGTAAACAGTCTCTCGAGTTTTGAGGGAAGTCTTGTGCATAAGTGATAAAGATTTATCTGCTGCAGGGGTTGTTGGGCTGGGCACACTGAGGCCCACTGACAGGCACACACACTAATATGTGGAAATGTTCTCAAATGTACCATGCAGTTCCCCGAATCAGACTTTTGCACAACGCCCACTGAGTTTCCAAAGCCTCTTTACACACATTTTTGGCGTTACCAAAGTATTTTTAGTTGACATTTTATAAAATAAAAATGTACAATTATGACACTTTCTAGAAAATACTATTTTAATTAATTCAATAATTGCATTGTTTTTTAATCTCTATGACCTACAAACCTAGTAGCCACACGCACATACGACCAGGAACTGTGCTGTGCACATCTGTTAGTTATTTTTGCCACACTGACATCAGCTGAGTTGAAAGATTGATTATAGGTAGCGTGGCGCAATAAGCAATACAGGTACAGTCCTCAAAGGTTTATTTAATCATGCATGAAAAACAAATATAAAGTTTCACTTGAATGTTTGAACTCTTACAGTAACACTTTAAGAGCCTAACAGCTGCCAATACTCCTGAAATTGTTTATTATTCTGCACTGTTATTCTCAATATATTTTACTTCTGGACTATAGCACAACGGTGTAGTAGAACATATCTAAATATGGATTTCTGCTTTTATTACATTTCTTTCATTGTCAAAGTGCAAAGAAAAAAATCAAAAAGCATTTTGTTTGTGGTCCTGGGATTATTTTAAATGGCTTTAAACTGGGCGTATCAACCATAATACAAAAAGAAAAAAAGCGAGAAATGATTTTTAATTACAATATTGTAATTAATGTCATGAAACACAGCCTACAGGGGAGTTTGGTAGCAAGTGATGAGTGTTTCAAACATTAAGGTATATTTTTAAAATGTCATATTTCATTAATTATAACACTGTTTTTAATGTAAGTAACTGTCACAGTTCCCAATTGCTAGAGATAAATTTTGCCTTTTCATTCAAATTACTATGATTTTGACTTTCAAATATATATTAATTGAATCTCTGGTTTACCTCACTGTCCTTTAAATGCAACAGAGTACCATAAGTGTCCTCACATAAACTAAACTGGAGTTTTATGAATAAGAGAACCTAATTCTATATTGAGGTGATTGCCCCTGTACATGACAGCATTAAATATTACTAGGTGTTATTGTTCTTTAACTCTGACTTGGAGAGGTGGAATTCTATAAGTATTAGTATATACTTATTACTTAGTATTATATTTAAGTATTATAATATAAGTATTAGTAGTAAACTATATGCCTTTAAGTTCACATATGTGAGCTTTTACCATTGTTTTAAGAAATGACTGCTTTGTGAAATCATAAAAAGATAAATGAACTTACAACGTGGTTTCTGGCTCCGAACAGTCACTGTACTGTGTGCAGCCGTTGGACTGTGGAGGACCGGGGGAAGTCTCTTCACTTCTGCTGCTTGCCTGTGTACTGGCCAGGCTGTCACTACCCTCAGTCCTACTGGTTGAAGTCTTCTGAAAAGGGCTTGCTGTGCCTGACTCAGCTTCCCATAGAAAGCAGGGGCAGCGAGTCCGCAGTTCTTTATAAAAAGAATTGATCCACAGAGTGGACATCCATGGGCAGCCCATCAGGTTCTTGAACGCAGTGCGAAACTCTGGAGTCCTGCAGTAGATGATGGGATTGAGGCCAGAGTTGATATAACCAAGCCAGTTTAATAGTCGAAAGAGTTTTTTATCAGGAACTTCTTTGTTAAAAGAATTAATGATATTGGCGACAAAGAAAGGCAGCCAGCAAACAGTGAAGACCCCCATGATGATGCCCAAAGTCTTGAGGGCCTTGTGCTCTTTGACAAGTATTAGCCGTGACGGCCTGCGTTTGGTACTCTTGCTCCTCGCTGCACTGTTGCAGTTGCTGGACGATGACGGCGTATTGTTGAGCTGGGGGCCAACTTGTGTCTGTGATGTTGGATATTCATTTTGGAAGCGCATCCGACGCTTATCTATTTGCTGGACCTGCCGGGATGCTATTAAATAGACTTTTGCGTAAACAAATATCATTATGAGCAGTGGAATGTAAAAAGATATTATAGAGGATATTATAGCATAGGTCTTGTTGGTCACAAAGTCACAGCAAGCGGGATCTTCATAGCACTCCCTCGCCAAATCATCATTTTCGTCTCTCCATAACAAAGTCATTATTGGTACAAAGGAAATCAGGGCTGACACAACCCACACTATACAAACTATTATTCTGGCACGCCACTTACTGAGCAGAACTTTGTGCCGTAGTGGTCTGGTAATGGCTATATACCGATCCACTGCTATGACACAAAGTGTCTCACAGCTCGCCGTCACACAGAGGACATCAATAGAAGTCCAAAGGTCACATAATGTTTCAGTAAGTTGCCACTTATCTGTCACCACAACAGTGGCCCCAGGAGGCACGACAAGGACCCCCATGATGAGGTCCGCACATGCTAGGGACATAATGAAGATGTTCGTCGTCGTTTGAAGCTGCGGAGTTCGTGCTATTGCAATGATGACCAGCAGGTTTCCCACCACTATGATGAGTATGATGAAGACCAGAATAACGATGATCTCTTTTCCCATGGGTGCATATATGGCGCCTGTCGTGTTCAGTGAGGATGATGTGTTCAAATTGTTCATCTTTGCTTAGTCAGGGAACTTAGTCACAAGAGGTGGAAAGTGTTAGATTTTCACATCAAAGTCAGCACAACTGAGGGACTGTAGGAGCCTCTTGCAAGCATCATACATACGATTTTACAAAAATCTGAGGTAGTTTGTCTCACTGAACAGTGTCTTTTCGGTGCAGTTAGTGATCACATTTCACACCTTGCGAGTCTTGTTTGGCAGTGCTCAGAAGGGAGTAGCAGTGGCTCGTCATCACCTCCGAAGATCTTGTTGTTTCTGGAAGTTTGTGCAGGCAACAAAAACACGTTCCCCAGAGAAAAGATGAATCCAAACTGTCCGCAAAGCCAAAACAATACTGGTTCACACAGTTTCAGCCCTTTCATGAATCCAAGGAAAATGTCAAAATATCAAGTAAAAAAATAAATAAATAAAAAGTTTGGGAGAAGAAAAGCCAGCCTTTTCCATTTAAATACGTCCACTGGAATTAGTTTTGTCGCAGGATCATGCATGAGCCTCAGTGCCACACTTGGACTGTTTGGAGATCAAGCAAACAGTGACGCTGTTACAAGAACCACCAGAGTGCACCAGAGCAGCTGGCCGATCTTTCTTTTGCTCTCTCTCTCTCTCTCTCTCTCTCTCTCTCTCTCAGTGCAGGTTGCCCAAGATTGTATTGGCTGTAATCACACTCTGGCTGAAGGCAGAGGGGAGGAGTTAAAAAGTGTGCCTGTGTGTCAAAGCCATACAGGGATCTGTACCCTGATAGAGCCACACACATGTGAACAATCACACACGCAGACATAAAAACAGGAGTGACAAATTAAAGGAAAAACCAGCATAGAGCATCTTAAGGTGTTGAGGCCAACCTCATGCAGCTTAAATACTTCTTGGAACCGATTGTCCAAATATCTGAAGCTCTGCTGGAGAGATGCACTCCATTCACATAAAGATATTTCCCCTCATTTGGTATTTTGATGGTAGGTTTTGGAAAGAGCTTTCTAACTTGTTAAATGTTCACTTAGTTTTAGATTATGCTACTCAGTGAGCCTTGGTGCCCTGTGAATTACGGGATCGTCATGCTAAAAGAGATGACATAACTAACTTGAGGATAGAAGGGTTTCATCACAGGATAAAGAACAACTCTGAACAACTTTTTTGGTTTGTCAATGTAACCTAGACGAGAGTAGGACCAAACTACTCAGAGAGCCACCAGATCCTCTCACTTAGGCGGTCAAAGGTTCAGGTTTTCCTTTTATGTGTCATGCATCTGTATAAGCCAGAGCAACAGAGTACTCCTGTGTGACAGCAGGTAAAATGTGTAACAACACATCAGGTTAATGCTACAAAGTTGTAGGGTTAAAGGTGAACGATGACGAATGGCTCTTTAATGCCACTTTTGTTGTGTTGAATGCAACAGCTATGCTAAGCTAGTTAACACATTAACCATATCTGTCACCTGACTGTGTCAACAACGTAACAGCTGCCGCTGGCTCCTGTTCTGATTGTCACATGCTGGGTTATGTCAAACACACACCTCCGGGCAGTCGAACACCAGCTTTGCACTAAACATCAAAATATATGTAGCTCACAAGTTTAGCCGCTTTCTAATTACGATCGTCCCCTCATTATCTCAGTTTTAACAGTACGGCTCTAATGGGCTCCAAAGATTTATTTGTAATGCAGTTTGTGGTCAGCTTCTCAGACCACAAGGCACGAGACATTACCAGCTGCAGAGAACAGGAAACAAGTGCCCTCTCTTTGACTCGGAGCAGTAAAGAAAATAATAGATTGCTATCTCGCTGTTGCTCAAGCCGGTGCACTGAAGAAGAACAATCAGGCAAATGCCTTTCATGCGATTCACTTCAGATATCCAGCGCTCTACTGCAGTGTCTTGTCGCCGAGCAGCTCCTTCTTTGGTCTGATTGACGCTTCGGGTGCAACTGTGATTGTTCTCTGATTATTCCTCGCCTTGTGTTTTACTTCTGCTTAATGAGGATAAACAGGAAAGTACTCACATTCAAACTGACACTTTTTTAGCACTTTGGCAATTCCAGAGAGTTTTGATTCATTCATATTTTGCAGTTCCTTCTCCAAAGATGTTAATATTTATTATTTTTCTAACAACAGCTGTATTAAACTGAATGCACACTGAAAAGCTCATTTTTTAGCTAGCTCACAACAGTTCCCTGTTTTAGTTTATTCTCATTGCTGTAAGCTTGTTTGTCTTTGTATTTTGTGCACATTAAAGAAATGGAGCATAATATTAAAACTGAATTCTATTTCTTAATGACAGAGCCAAGCAAGCTGGCTCCCATCTTTCCAGTCTTCATATTAAACTTGAGCTTCCCAGATCAACTTACCTGGCTACTTTTTTGGTTACCATCATACACTTTTTATCCACTATTAGGCACTGTTTACTGGTTGAACTACTTACATTTTTTTGTGGCATAGATTCAGTGAGGTGCTGGAAACATTCCTCAGACACTTGAAATAGTCAGCAACAGTACTCAGCTAGGGTGTGGCATTTAAACAATGCTCATTTGCTAATAAGGAGTCCAAGGCATGACAAGAACATTATTTTTATATATGGTGAGTCCTGTGTACTTTGTTGTGTAGAATCTGTGTATTGCAGCTCATTACATTTCATATCAAATCTGTTGTCCAGCACACATCCGAGTGTACTTCATAATGTGATTTCTTGGCCTTCAATAAGTTTAAGGTGACAACCGCACAGATATATATTTATGTGTAAAGCCATCTTTAGCTGCGTAAACTCTTAATACCTGCAAACAGTTACTATGATTGGCAACCTCAGGATTTTTTCTTATTTTGCAACTTGGTCATGGACTACTCTTCAGAGCAAGTTAAATGCTTCTGGGAGAACTCAAATGAAAACTAACCAAACGAAAAAAGGAAACGCCAATCAAAAAAAGGAACCTGGAATTGGAATAATTTTACCGGGAACTTTTTAATTTGGTTCAAGGCGTTCCAAGGTTTAATAAATTTTTGAACCGGAACTCTGTATTGTTGTACCTTCTTGGGCATTTTAGAAAGAGATATCAAGAGACTTCCTGCTTAAAAAAAGTTTGAATAGATAAATAGAATAAAGGAAAGGACATCCAATGTGATCTTCTGCTGCTGTACCCCATCCTTTAAGGTTTAACGTGTTCAGAGATGCTATTCTGCATACCTTAATTGCAACAAATGGTTATTTGAGTTTATATTGCCTTCGTGTTAGTTCAAAGAGGTCTGGCCAATCTCCTCCGATGCATTTTCTCACAGAAGACTGCCACTCGCTGGATGTTTTCTCTTTGTTTGGGCTGTTCTCTGTAGACTCTAGAGATGGTTATGTGGGAAAGTCCCAGTAGAACAGCAGTTTCTGCAGTACTCAGACCAGCCTGTCTGGCACCAACAACCGTGCCGCTTTCAAAATCAATTAAATCACCTCTTTTCCCCATTTTGAACTTCAGCAGGTCATCTTGACCTTTTCTACATGCCTAAATGTGCTGGATTAGTGCTATTGTATTAAATAAGCAGTAATACAAGTGTACCTAATGAAATGGCCAGTGATAATAAAGTCTCTGCAGCAGCACTTTTGGCAAAATGCAAACAAAGGAAAAAAAAAACCCATACATTTTCCAAATTGTCAGACTGTTCCTTTAAGGGTTTATTATAAATATAGCAGTGTCATTTAAAACAAGTTGTTATAAGAGGGATATAAGAGGGGCGTGCTTTGTTATTCGGTCATATACACGCCTGCTTTGCTGCCCAATTTAGGTTTAGATAGGCTGGGTCACTTTGTCACTCATCTGACAGGAAGCTAAGGAGTTGCAAGTGCATTCACAAAAGGAAACAGCGGGCAAAAGCAAAACACTGGTGCCTTTCTAAACTTGATGACCAAGAGGCCCCATCTGACAGCATTTCTGCAGATGAAGGTCATCACTGTGGAGCTGACAGCTTGACAGCTGCTCATTTGTCTTTGCGTGAGAAGATGCCATTGGTCGATCTGGAGCTGGTCCTAGTGTAGTCAAGCACAGCGGCTGGCACGAGCTCAGTTGTTGATAGTGGATTCAGCCGTGACAGCTTTCTCACCATTTATACAGACAGGCCTGTATAGTTGAAGCATTAGGATGCTCTGCACACAGTCACTTATACTGCATAATTAATCACTTGCAAGCAAAAAAATTGCATTTTCATTCACTTCACACAACTGACAAGGTTAATACGGTTTCTGAGATGACAGCGATATGTATGCAGTGGTTTGACATTGTACAGCATGGAACACTTAAGGAGAAAAATATGCCACTAAAATGAAACACTTTCACCTGTTGTCTGCTCTGGAGTTAAATCTAACACACTTCCTAGAGAGAAAATAATTTACAGTGAGCGTAGCAGTCAAGGATTTGCTCAGCTCACAGTGGCAGTGTGTAAATCATCAGAACTCTCATAAAGCTTTAGGAAGCCTGTTTATAACACACTCACACCCCATATATACTATATCCTGGGAATGTTTCTCTCCTCACCATGGAAACCTCAAAAGCGATATGCTTCAGTCCTCTTACATTCAAAACACTGCTTTGTTAAAGCTTGCAGCATGTAGCACAGCAGGCCTGATCTGTGGCAGCCACCTGGACTTTACAAACTCACATTTCAATCCGCAGTACCATCCATCTTCTCTTTGCCAACGCTGCCATTCTTGGAAACATCCGTGCAATCGCTCTCCTGCTCACTTTTAATAGCACAATCCCCAAGTTATCGACGTCAGAGCTCGCTCACGTTCAGTCGGGCTCATTTGTTGATCATTTGCTCAATACGAGATGTGACTCTTCAAGTTGTTTGGATGTGCTGGAAGTGTCGCCCATTGCTTTTCCATAAGTAGACAAGAGAGAAGTGTAATGGCTACATCTTGTCAAACAAAAGGGAAAGAGGAGCCAGCAGTACGAGGGAGTTCACATAAGGGTACATTTACCTCCACTTTTCATTTGATTATTAATCCCTGTCACACTTGTCATCCTACAAATTCATGGACTGCGATGAGGAGTTTTGTATCGGGTAATGGTTTCAGTTTTTTATTTTCACACCACAACTCCACAGTGCTTTGGATTGTTGTGACTTTTCTTTAAATCAGATATTTAGATTACTGAAGGCTTCCTGCGAGTTTGTTTGGTTTGTGTCTGTGTGTGTGCGTCCATGCATGTGTGTGTGGAAGCACAGGAAACTCTCCATTAGCTTGAGAAGCTAATCAAGGCTAGAAGGAGTGGCACCGAGAGCAAAACACAACTCGGGAACTAATGATGGGTCGGCTGTATCTTGATTCAAAAAAAATAAATCTTTTTACGCGTAACTGTTCAAATTGTTGAGTCACACGAACAAAACGAAAGAAAATTAAAAAAAAAAAAAAAAGCAAAAAAGAACTTGATGTGCTGTAGTTTATATTAATGTCCATAAAACATATCATACACCAGGAATTAGAGGCAAGTGAATGACAGATATGTAACCAGGAACATTTGTTCCTTGTGTTTGCATCCTGTGGGGTACAAAGCCCCAGAGCAGTTCCTCTGCCAGCAGATATATAGTGTGAAACCATGTGTTGAGGTGAAGGGA